AGGAAAATAAAATACATGTATTTCTAGTTACCAAAGGGTGAACATTGTGTCACTCAGTTTATCCTCCCTATTCCACTTTTTTTTTTTTTTTTAATGAAAACACCAGATACATTTAAATAACATTTTTTTCATTATTTTGGACCCCTGAATTATTTTTCTAATGAAAGTAATATAGTGAATTAAAGCCTGTTGACAGTAAGTTTGTTTTACTTAATTGCCTTTCACAGCACCTGCAGGTTTTCTTATGACTACAGACTGAAAGACAGTAGCCCAGAGAAGCGTGCCACCCACAGCAAGCTCTGCCAAACCTTCATAATGGTACTCCAGTCTGGACTTGCTGACACCCAATGGCTCTTTGGTGTTTTGAGCAGAAGAAGCTTGATAGCCACAACTGGATTTTCAGCCTTATTTGGCGCTAGATTAACATGTCCAGAGACACTAGGCAAAGATGGTCTAACAGGTGACAATCTGATTTTGGCTACTTTTAACGAGATGACCAGCTGAACTCACTTTCACATCCTCTGAAGTGCATTAGTTCATCCTGGGTCCACACTAATATTTTAAGCTTGTGCAAATTCTGAGGTCTGGGATGGAGTATTTGCTGACCACAGTATGCAAGGCACAGCTAGGGCTCAGGTGCTGGCCAAGGATGTTGTGTGGATATGAAAGATTGCACCAGAAGCCAGGCCTATGAGAAAACATGAGACATTCACTTACTTTTATAAATGAACCTTAAATGCAGAAGTTTTCAAGCATTCCTCTACTTTCTGAAAATTCTCCATGTACCTTTACTTGGCTTTATAAAAGTTGGGGAGCTTGTTTGTTTCTTTTGCTTTGTTTCCTCCTTGAATGGATATTCAGAACTGATTCTGACAATGTAGGGAACCATTTAAGAACTTTTTTCATTTTTTTAAAGAAAATTTCTCTGAGCAGAAGAACCTGTATATGAAAGCCACTAAGCAGCCAGAGTGGCATTGAAGTTTTAATAAACCTTCAAAAGGAAAAAACTGTGGAGAATTTTTTCTTTGTGAATGCAAGAAAACAGTATGTTTATAAACAGCTGAGAAAGAGCTGAACATGGATGTGAACAGCAACAGTGTAAGGAGAAAGTTGAAAAAAGATTTGTTGCTATAATCCTGAAGCTTAGAATAATATACTGGAGAACCCAATGCAAAGGGGAAAAAAAAAATGTGTGAAACAAGAAACTTCAGGAGAGCCTGAATATTAGACAAATTTAGTCCAAAAGTATTCAGAAGTACTTGTGTGGGCTCAGCAGGAAAGGTGATGGAATCATGTAATAATGAATGCTTTTTCTTTTTATTTTACAGTGAAAATGTGTTTGACTGGTGACTTAGAAAAGCAGTGTTCATATAACTATAGAACATAAATAAGGGAAATATCACCTAATCAACAGGCAGGCTACTGTTTGCTAAACCACACTCTGAATGCAGAATTAGCACTCTGAGAAATGATCAGTATGCTTGTGTCTGGGTGGTGTTATAGCTGGTTCATTAACAACCTTAACTCACTTTTACAAATAATGCTATTCACGTGCAACCCACTAAGTGTGTAATTCTGCAGTACCAGTGAAGCTTCAGGACAGCTTACTCACTTTCTGTCACTGTGACTTTAGCCACAGGAACCCTGGAAGTTTGTATTAACACTTATGTGTTCATGGCATGGACAAACTAAGGTTTACAGCTTCACAGACAGATCTGAATCGTTTATAGAAGGTTAATAGGAATCTCCTTGCTGTGCTGATGCTCACACCGGCACTGGGTCCTGCCACGATCATTAGTCTCCGAAGAACCTTTACAAGACTTGAGCTGATGACTATGTGGGGTATCATGTTATATTTATTTTCTAAGTATATTTTATGGCTATTGTGGTATGTGTCCTCCTTTCCTATTCAAAACCAACACAAACCGGAATACATAAGGCATCTCAGATATTATGTGTAAAGTGAATTCTATCATCACATTATTTTGAAAGATGGGCAGCAAGATTGATCTACCTAAAACAAAGAAACAAACCAAAGCCCAAACCCTTATCTTGTTATTCTTATCTCCATGAAATAGAAAAATGTGCTCAACTTCTAAGGGTTTTTCACAGGCCTGGGTTTTCTGAACTATGAAGGAAATCCACTGTAAGGAAGTGTGACAGTTTTCAATATACTGCTGAGGAAAATTACACTGAAGGAAATATTTCAGTCTCCAATAATTTAGGAGAGAGGTGTTTTACAACCAGAATTATGTCTGAAAAGTGTTTAAGTACTAAAGCCCTCACTTACCTTTGTGTGACCTCTTTGAATTCAGAGGCATTTCAGGGGTCTAACTGGGGGCACAGTTTGTTTCTTGAAACATCAGTAATTATCTGATCAGAGAATTTTTGAAAGTTGAATAGACAGCTGCTTACAGTTGATATGGTTCCAGCCTCACAGGGCTGCAATGCTTGAATTGTCACTTATGGGGAGATACAGCTTTTATCCCTGCTCCAGTCCCATTGTGTGTTAGACTTGCTTGTCTGCCCACAGCAATGTGTGCTGGTTTTGGCAGCCTGCAGTGCAGCTAAATATAGTCAATGGAGACCATTGTTTTAGTAGTGAATATCAGCTTAGCAAGCAGAAACAGTTACGTTCTTCTTTGAACACCTCCTTTCACCCCAAGGCACCCACTTTAAAACAACAACAACAACAACACACATGTTAAGACCTGGAAAGCCACGTTCACCTAAATTAATGTGCTTTGCCAGCAATGTGGGCCTGGTCCAATCATTCTTAAAAAATAATAATAAAAAAATAAAATATCTGAAAGATTTCATCGACCCCAATGGCTTAAGATCAGACTCCTAGAGGAGCAGGTTTATCCCCCCCCCCCCCCCCCCCCCCCCCTTAGGCAGTAGGTTCTGCTCTGGTTCTGCATAGCAGCATGTGCAGAAGTCAAATGCAAGTCAAGCTTGAGATGAAGGACTGTTGCCATCACCATCTCCCATATGTTTAAAGCTCCATATTTTGCAAGTAATGCCCTCTAAATTGATTCACTCCGTTTGTTTATTGTAGTTAAGTCTCAGTGGGCACAGTTCTGTTGCTCCTGAAGGTGATAAAGATATGCCATGTATAAAACAATCCTGCAGTTACCCTACCAGAAAGAAAAGGCTGCTGATCTTTTAAGTGGGGATGTGAGGAGAATGAGAGTTACCTGGATAGCAGTGATGAGCCTTTTGTTCCTTCAGTGAAGTGCAGACAAAATTTCATTCAGTCCTGAGCATTCAGTAACCTTCTTTTCATAGACACTCACAAGTATGACTCAGATTCTTACCACTCCCCAGGGTTTCCCAGCACTAAGTGCTTTCATCCCCAGGGAAATGGAAGCCAATGGGCCCAAACTCACCAACAAGAAGCAGGAAGTATGTTTGTTTTGTTTCCAGCTTTGCTCTCTGGATACCCAGACAGGAGCTGATTGAGCAAAAAGTATAGTGTGCAAACTTAGTTCAATAACCAGAACAAAAAGAAAAATGATACTCAAAAATAAACTCATATGCAGCAAAAATAATGTAATGACTTAAAGGGACAAAAATACTGTGAGGTGGAACTGCACATTTTTACTTTGTTCCTTACCCATGCATTAAGTTATGTTGGTAAGATTTCTGTTCTTTTTCCATTCTCATTTTTAAGCTCATGGGAAAGCATACAAAAATAACACTGGAGTAACTTAGTTAATTAATTAATTAATTGAACAACAGTGCATCTATTGTTTGTCCACTTCATCTCATACTCTTAGCAAATAAGAAAGTAAAAAGGTCTGAACCAAGAGCTTTCCTGCTCAGTACACCCTCACTATGGAATTGCAAGTCATGGTCTTTGTGTTCTGTCTTCCCAGCTCTTTGTATCTTGGTGTTCTAGGGCAAGACACTGCAATATCTTCAGCATGCTATTGCAGTTCCGGCTTTGAAGCATCTGTGAGTTATGCAGGAAAGTCTTCTGTTCTGTAGTTTTAGACATGGCACATTGGACATAATCTTCAAAACCACATCCAAATAACAGCGTTAAAGTGAACTCTCGTGGTACAAATTGGTAAAATTTTCAAACTTCAGTGCCTGACAATTTGTTTTGCAAGGCCTTGCACAAAACATTTTCATATAAATTAGTTAATTTAATAGACAATGGTGTCACATTTTGCATACTAATGGTCAAAACTGGATAAAGCTTATACTCTTGAACATGTAGAATATTTTTATCAAAGTAGGTGGAGAGTTGTTTAGCTTCACTGTGCAGCCAAATTTTAAGGTTTTTATATAATCTAATTTTAGCCCTTATGCTGTGATCCAGTCAGTCATCTCCTGAACATATTCATAGTGCTTAATGACTAATACTACTGGAATATGGGTTCCCAACTGGGTAAAATTAAAACAATGCATTTCTAGGAACACGAGCTGAGTGAAGCATCCCCTATTCACACTTATGAAACAGAATTCTTTTGTAATTTTCAAAGAATTTGGCCCAAAGCAAAGTTTACTAAAATAAGGAAAAATGCAAATAATTTTGGGAAGTTTGAATATTTCTATCTGTATTTAACGAAAGTGTTTTCAAGAAGACTGTAAAGATATTGAAGATTTATGAATTGTCTCTCACAAGTCTTTGATACTTTGAAACAAAACAAAAAAAAGGTCTCCTGATCATGTTCAATCTTACAGTGCAAGAGAAGCAGTTCAGGTCACCTGTATAATTACTTGAGTTGGTAAAATGTTATGACAAAAACAAACTATGAGCTTTTTAATTGAGATGATTATCAGATTCTCTTTGGTACTGTTGTCTTCCTTTTTTTCAGCATAACTACTAAGTCAATAGCTATCTATGCAAACAGATATGTTAAATCTAACCTAAGTATACACAGAACTTCTTAAGTTGTGCCATGTTGCCAGGGTACGAGGTGCAAGGTTAGTTTCTAAAATATTGCTAATTACCATTCTCAGAGATAGAAAAGAAAACATGAGACCAGGGCCTGTAGCATAGCTCATTTTTATTGTTTAAACAGTTTTTGCATAGGAAATATATCCGCTTCCAGTAATTGACTGCAGTATGAGCAGCTGCTAGCAGTATAGGCTGGATATAACAGTAACAATCACATTAAGTCAAGCTTGATTTACACCAGTTTAAAACTTGTGGCAGTTGAGTTCATTTGTAACCTAAAAAGGAAAAAAAAAAAAAAAAAGTACCAAAAAGAACATTATTATCCTCCAACCAGGCACAATAAAAACCTTTGTTAACACTCAGGCTAAAATCAGGTCTGATGCCAGAGGGCCTTAGTTCCAAAATTAAGTAGTTGTACTGTAATGCATCTCACAAGTAAAGGTTCGTTACACAAGGATTGTGCACATACCTACTTTTTAATTAAAATGTAACCTTCAGGATTTATGGCCTACAGTATGGGGAAAAATGCCAAAAGTTTTAAAATGGATCAACCCTGGTGTGTAGCTAGCAAGCAATAACTGACTACTTGTCACCTACAGTTGTACTAAATGTATCTAAAGAAACACACAGCCCTACAAAAGTTGTTCTCAGAGAAATATCATTGAGATGGGGTGTCTCTGCCCAGTTTGCTAAAAGTTCTATATGATATAAGCACAAATTAACAGCTTGATGAAGACATAATCTAATGCAGCTCTTGAGAAGCCTATGCCTGGGACTTGAGGAACCCCTCACATTCTACAATGTTGTAGAGATTTATTTTTTTTTTTGAAGAAGAAAATGTTATCTGAAACATATTTACAACTGAACTCAACAGAGACTGTGAAATTGAACAGGCACTGCTCATTTGTTTGAGTTTTTTTGGTAAACATTTTGCTGGTTTTTGTTTCTTTCTCGTTTTGCATCAACTTTTATCAGTCCATGCAACTTCAATGCCCTCAATGAAGAATGCATAATAAGCCATACTTCTTAAAAACCTTCTTTCTGCATATAGAGATACATTTGCCACATCAGTCCCTGTAGCACAGTTTTCGAAACCATTTCTGTCAAAAATACAGTAATACAAAGACTGGCTTTAGTGTCACTAGCTCACACTGCTTTCCATTTATTTAGGCCACCTTTTGTTTTACTGTTACTGTATCATGCAATAAAAGTATGAAAGGCTTATTCTAGAATATCACAATGCTAGTGGCACTGAAGACCTTTTCACAAATTCAACATACATTTGAATTGCAACACACAGATATTTCTAAAGAGTAATAACTAGTGAACCCTTTCATTAAAAAAAAAAAAAAAAAAAAAAAAAAAAACTACTTACAACCACTGAAGAAAAAATTGCAACAAAAAATGTAAAAATTGACCGTCTCCCGACTTGTCCCCTTTACTATTAACAATGTGACCAACAGAGCTGTGGCATGGAAACAGTACAAAGAGTTGTCATGGCAATAAGTTTGGCTGATGCAAAGGTCATTGTGCAGGGTTAAAGGGCAAAATCAGTGGTCCGTGTTATCCTCCAACTGCAGTGCTCCACCACACCCACACAATTTTGAGGAATTAGAAAAAACAGGGGAAACTAGCAGAAAGTGCAAATAAGGAGACAGTTTTCAGCTCCTTCAGTGTGGAGTAGAACATTCAATTTTGAGCTTTTCCTGTTTAACTTTATTAGCCTGCATACGATTTTACTCTTTTTTTTTCTTTTTTTTTCTTTTTTTTCTTTTTTTTTTTATTCTTTTCTTAAGTTTTCTATAGAAACCCAATAAAAAAGTCCAGGAGCATGCAGCTGGTTAATGTCAACAAAAGACCTTGACAGGATCATATAAACTATATTGAATGTCATGCTTGGGACCTTACTGCCAGCAACATTAGAGAGTTGTTTCATTAAATGTGAATACTGTACACTGAATATGGGATAACTTTCTGCAGCCTTCATAATCTCACACAGTAAATATAATTTAGATTTAGGTACAGAACACACTCCGGTGTCACAGCTGAGTATGTCCTTGTGCAATCTCTCTCATTAAGTCCTTATGAAGCTACAAGTTGCAAATCCAAAATTCTGCTCCCTGAGGACACAGCTATGTGAGACGTAAGTACTGTTTTTATTCTCTGCCTATCCTGAATTGCTCTGTGAACCTAATCTTAAATACCATCATGTAACAATCACAAAAACTTTTGCTAAAGGCCATATATACTAATAAAAAGACAGTGGTGCTTCCAACATTTTGAAATGCTCTGAAAACCAACTTTTCCAATACTAAATACAACAAAATAACCTTCATAAAATATAACTTTTCTCCATTTACATTTTTAAAGGATTAGTAACCTATGCTTTTCAAGCACAGGAATCTGTGAAATAACTGCTAACATGGACAGATTTTATTTTTTTTTAGCATATAAATTAAGAAACTGGAGAGTTTTAACCCAAGTCCAGTTTCCAAACAAGGAATATTCTTGTTTACTTTAAAAATGGAAATGACATATATTTCCATTATAATTGTTAAAAGTTAGCTTTACAAACAAGGGTATTTTAATTAAAAAAAAAAAATCTTAACAAAACTATACAGTGTACAAATTACTGTCTACAAGGTAGGCGGTTCATTCAGAAGATCCTCCTTTCTTCTCGCTACTTGCAGCTTCATAAATTCATTCACATATTTTCAATGGAGCTGCCCACCTGAACTTCACCCCACAACTATATTGCTATAATTAATAATTTTGCCATGTCTTTATGTACAGTCTCCTTCACTGCCTTTTTTTTTCCCTTAGTCAAGCCTCAAACGTTCATGTCACTCCAGGGGGAACACACTTCAGTGGCACAGCCATGAGGCCAGGGCTGCAAAGCAACTTAATAAAGGCAGAACAGTGCACATAGAACGGGGTGGCTTGATTTAGTCAGAATACACTTCCTGGTGAAGGAGGAGGCCAGAGACTGGATTTGAGTTCTCAGTGTTATCTCAATCATTTGACTGCTGAGCTTGAAAAATAAAAAAAAAACATAAATGAGAAGTCTCTTCAAACCAGAATTTTCTATCAGAGAGACATTTAAAAAACCCACAATTGCAAAACAAAACCAATTCATTCCCACGGAAGGAGTTTGATTTTAAAAATATTGCATCTGTAAATTTAATGTTTTCATACAAGAGGCCAGAAATAGAAAAGCTCAGTTAAGGGCATCCTTCTTTCTACAAAGGTAATCATTCTTGTGACTATTTTGTAAATTCAGTCTGAACTTGCTTCAGTTTCATTCTGGTGTGCTATTAAAACCTTAAGTGGGACACTCTGCTAATGACAAGGGACAGAGCACGTGCAGACACCTCAGATCCTGAACTGCTCAATATCAGTGGTGAGCAGAAAAGGCAATATCATAGTTAATGTTACCAGGCCAGAACCTGAGTATGCCCTGGGTGGGTCAACTACATTTCAGCTAGTCTTAATAGTCATGTACTTAGGGAATTAATTCACTTTTTATAGGGCTCAGAAAGAGAGCAATGTACAATTGATTTTTGATTTTTTTTATTTTTGATTTTTTTTTTTCCACCTTAGCTATAGATAAATTTTCAGGATTTGCTTTTCTACAGCTTCTGTCTCAGTATCCTTCCATGTCCTGGCTATGTAAGTTTCTCCTGCAGTGTCCTGCTGGAGACAAGAGGATGTGCCACCACCACCACCTCACAAGCAGCCATGTGCTGGCTAACGATGAGGTCTGCTGATACCCAGCACTCCATGGAGTGGCTCTTGCTGGAGCTGCGCCACAATAGGCAAACCTCCGAAAGGCAGAGACAACAACAAAGGGCTGAACTGTCCCACCAGGATATCCCATTTAAAGTCTATTCCATGTTTGTTTTCACCTTAAAAATTTATGTGCTTTTAAGGAAGGGTCAACTTATCTTGAGCCATATGTAACAAGCATCCCCAGTGTCTCCAGCAACAGGCTGACTACTAATCTGTAAGCTCTGATTTTACTGGAAATGCACTTTTATTTACACCACAGTCTAATAACACCCATTCAGAAGCTCCTTTCCTATTATAGCCCAGAGCTCTCCATCCAACCTGCTGTATGAGAGTACATGAGAAAAGTCTGACACAGTCTGAGCAGGCTGAAGATTGGAACTCAGATGCTGTGTGTTTAAAAAAAAAATAGTTTTGATGTAGGGGAAAAAATATCATAAAATAAAAAGGAATATTTACCAGTCAAGCAGGCTAAGGGAGGCAAATTCTCTGCAGGAACAACTTAGTCAACTGGTCAGTGGAGTTATGCTAGCAAAGATTTTGGCCCTCTAAACACATTTCCTAGACAAAGCAAATGTCTTTCTATTCTAACTTAAAAACATCTTCTTACATGAACACTTTAGGATGTAGTAGATTTGCCAGAGTGGGAAAGGCTTCATCTCACTGTGGGTCTGGACCTCCTGCTCTCTCTGTCTGCCTCTCTCCGTCTCTCTCTGTCTCTCTTGAAATTCGAAGTACAACAATTTCCTCAAGTCAAGTCTGCCTCCAACAGAATTCATTATTTATATTTTAAATCCAGAAATGATTTCAGCTTGCACCCCAGGTGGGAAGTTAAAAGAGGGAACCGATTTGAAAGTTTGTCACAGTAGGCAGAACAGTCGCTTTGCAGCCCTTGCCTGGCTAAGGGTGCACTGCTTCACAGCTACACTGTAAAGTGTTAAAAATCATCCCCACCCACCCCAGAATATATATATATGTATAAAAAAAAATCCCCGTCCATCTCTCAGTACATAAAAGGACCTCATCACACTGCAAAAATAGCAGTACCCACTTTGGTCAATTAAAACAAACAAAAAAAGCATACATTATTTTTTTTTCTTTTAAATCTGTGTACTTACCTACAATAACCAATACAGCTAAAAGCACTACCTACATAGGCAAAACTTGGTATTGCATAATTCGTATAAATTTGAATCCCCTCCCCCCAATATTAATTGGAAGATGAAAAACATGAAAGGTTAATAGAAAAAAAACACCAAAATACTGAAAATATTGCTGGTCGATTACAATTCTTAAGCGGCAACTATACACAGCCATGATATGCTTTATAAATGTGAGATAAAGATATAACTGTCTAAAAAATCCATGATGTCACACTTTTTTCCCATCTGGAGTACAAAATATTTTGTCATAAAAATGGTAAAGATTTAAAATGATAATAAATGCAGCAAAACAAGTGTAGTGATGTCATTTTGTGTGTGTGTGTGGTTTTTTATGTGGTTTTTTTTTTTTTCATTTGTTTTTTTTGTGTTTTTTTTTTTTTTTTTTTCAATTTTTTAAATTTCAAGGCAAGGCACGTAATGTGGACATTATATCTTCGTGCAAATCAGGATTACTAGAAAGAGTATTTTAATTGATTATTTTTTAAGAGACATAGAGGCAAAATTTCTGCCCATGCACATTATATTTCTGTCAATACGTGAAATCTGTTGAACAAGGCTAACTTCTGAAAGCACCATGCAAGTTTTCAGCACCCTGTAACTGGACTTTAAGAGTGCATTATTTAAATAAAATCTTATCCCCATCCTGGTATTACCAGTTTGTAAACAGTAAGCTTTGCCCTTGTGGCATGGATTTGCCTATCTCTTTGTCTCTATGATGCAGATTATACAGAAAAATATAAACCCTATGGGTTCTTGATGCAACCAGTAACTTTAAATAAATAAATCCTACCCCTCTGTGGAGGCAGCAGCTAAACCAACATAAGTGCTGTGTTTTCATTGATTTCTTTTTCTCAAGGACATGATTTGTCTTGATGTAATGCCTTTTAATGCCCTCAAAAACTGAGGGGAAAAATAAATTTGTTCAAAGTAATTTTTAATTTTTTTTTTTTTAATCCCCTCAATTTAGAGTCCAAGGGCTGAAGGACTTATAATGATGACCCCTTAGATATGATTTTTAAATTGCACTTGCCTCTGTAAGTGTTTCTTTAGTGGGAAAAGTTCATGTGGGTTGTTTTGTTTTGTTTTGTTTTAATTTTTTTTATTTGTTTTTCTGTTGCATGAAAAGATAACACTTTTACCTACATAGAGGCATTTCTTATATAGAGCCTGTGTGTTCATTCTGATTGAAAATTTCAAACTGGGTAACACACTAGAAAATGCTGAGTTAAGGGCCAAAGTTTAATAAATCCATACTGATAACTAAAGGCTACAGAGCATATTTTTAAAACATTTAGAAATCAGAGTGTTGAGAAAATGGCTGGCTCACAGCCCTTGTCCTCCTGCAGCTCTGTTGCTGCTGCCTAGCCTTTGTTTTGTGAGATAACCAGGAATAGTGATCCCATGCGTAAACAACAAGAATACTAAACCAATAAAACTAGCTTATCATGCAAATATTAAGGCATCTAGAAAGTCAGTTAAAATATATTGTCAGAGACAGAACATCTATTTCCCAGCGGACTTCATATAACAAAGGCTACTTAGCAGGGGCTGCATTCTACCCATTAGTGAAATATCATCGACCCTTTGTATGTCATTTCAGTTTTAACCATAAGGGAATTAGTGATTGTAAGTGCTGCAATTGCTGGTCTATTTTTGTCTTCTTTCTTCAGTTTCTTCTCTTATCCCGTCTTCTTTTTTTCCTTTTTCTAATTTTTCTTTTATTTTTTTCCCTCAGTTACTTGTTTCTGCTTGAAGGAAAGGCTCTCCAATTATGTTCAAACCATAATTTGGGACATTTGTCGGCAGGATCGGTGTCCTGTTTGATACTTGAAAAGGAACCAAGCTAGCCCAGGTACCAGGACTGTTGGAAAGGGGGAAAGATAAAGAGATAGAGAAAAAGAGAGAGAAAATGAAACACAAATTAGACATTTTGCAAAAACCAGATCACAATGAATTTGAATCAGGATTAAAACAAATATTCATTATTAACAGCACTACTCAACATTAAAAAATAAATTAAACAAATTTCTGACTATTCCTTGAGATTCAAATTTACAGTTTTCTTTATAAAAGTATGACTTATTTGGAAGAAAAAAAATTGCGTTGGTCTCAACTGCAAGTAGCCTGTTTATTTATGGTAGTCTCCCAAAATTGTAGAGGTGATATATAAAGCAGACAACACTAAACCATATATATAATACTATATGGCAGCACAGATGTTATTTAAGAGCTAATAAAATGTATTAGTGTACAAGTTTTTTCATCTCAAAAACAAATAAATAATAAATAAATAAATAAATAAAGGCTCAGTGTTTAAGTTTCCTGTGCAATTTCCTGCTTGTTTTCAAACCAGCAGTTTACACTGTCTCAGTCTCAAGATGTGTCTCTGAGGTGCGTGAGTCCGCAGTAGAGTAGAGAACTTGG